GCATTTAAGGTATTCACAATGTTGCGTACCATCACCTCTCTCAAGTTCCCCCAAATCTTTCTTACTCTAAAAGGCAAACCATAGCCATCGAGCAGACACTTCTCATTGACGCCTTCCCCCATCCCCTCACCACCACCAGCCTGTTTTCTGTCTCTATGGATTTACCTATTCTGGATATTTCCTATCAACAGAATCATACAGCATGTAACCATTGTGTCTAGCTTATTTCACTTAGCATGTTTTTGAGGTTTATTCACATTGCAGCATCTATCAGTACTTCATTCCTTTTTATGGCTGGATAATATTCCACTGTGTGTATATACCACAATTTATTTGCCTCTTCATCTGTTGATGAACATTTGGGTTTCCACCCTTTGGCTATTGCAAATAGAACTGCTATGTACATACATGTATATGTATTTGTTTGAGTACCTGTTTTCATTTTTATCTATCTAGGAGTGGAATTGCTGTGTCATATTATAATTTTAACTTTTTGAGGAATTGCCAAACTGTTTTCCAAAGTGACTGAACCATTTTACATTTCCATTAGCAATGTTCGAGGGTTCCAGTTTCTCCACATCCTCACCAACACTCATTTGTTTTTATGTTTCCTCATAATTCAAATTGAGACATTCTTTTTCATTCAATTATATCATCTTGTTGGATGTGAAGTGATATTTTATTGTGTTTTGTTTTTATTTATTAAAAACTTTAAAAAATTTTTGTGGAGATAGGGTCTCACTATGTTGTCCAGGCTAGAGTGCCGTGGCTATTCACAGATGTGATCTTTCCTCGGTAAGTGGTCTTGGCCCTCTTACTGAAAAGCAGTTGGCCATTAGATGTATGGGAGGCAGAAACTCCTGACCGTGAGAACTTTGGCAGGTCACTTAATTTTCAACTTTTATCTTCTCACCCGTAAAATGGGATGATAACCTCTTTATCCCAGAGTTGTCAGGATTAAGTAAGATCACATATGGAGAGCGTCAGCCATGGTACATGGCAGGTTCCCCAGTGAATGTTAATTCTTCCCTTGCTGCAAGAAACAGAGGCAGGGTAAGCAGTGTAACATCCGCCACCTCTCTTTCTTCTCCTTCCTCCTGTCTTCTGGACACAGGACACCTTAGACACAGAAATGTTTATTGTTACCTCAACCATTTGCTGAGTAAATACTTACACCCCTGAACAAAGATAGTGAGGAGAGAGGTCTTGATAGAGTGAGGAAGCTTTTAGCTAGAAATGTAGGCAAGCAAATGAAGTAGTGGTAAGCCTTTAATGATTCAATCAGCATTCGGTAAACATTTACCTACTTTGTGCCAGATAGAAAGGCAAAAGGCTGCTCCTGACCTCATAGAGCTCTCATTCTAGAGGGAGGAGACAGGCTGTTACACAGGCAGTTACAAAACTGTAGTAAGTTCTGAGACAGAATAAAACAGAGGATTGCGAGAGTGTGCAGGAAGAAAATAGGTATAGCCACCTCGAGGATTCAGGGAAGACTTGTGGGAAAGTGACACTTGGGCTGGGTATTAAATGATTCATAGGAAGAAGTAGGCAAGATGAATAAGGGGAGAAAGTATTAGCATAGGAGAAATCATAGACAGAGCTATGAGGGCATGGATATATGTTCTAGATTCTAGGAGATGAAAACTATTCCAAGGTGCTTGGATCATAGGGTAGAGGTGGAGTAGGGTAAGAAAATGGTTTGATTTTATTTAGATGGCCATTGGGAGCTATGAGATTTAAACAGGGAAGTGCCATAGTCAGATCTATAGTTTTATTTATTTATTTATTTATGGACTGAGTCTCCCTCTGACACAGCCTGGAATGCAGTGGTAAAATCATAGCTCACTGCGTTCTCAAACCCCTAGACTCAAGGGATCCTCCACCTCAGCTTCTTGATTAGCTGGTATTACAGGTACAGGCCACCATGCCCGACTATTTGTTATTTTATTTATTTTAATTTTTGTAGAGACAAGGTCTTGCTATGTTGCCCAGGCTGGTCTCCAACTCCTGGCCTCAAGTGCTTCTCCTGTCTTGGCCTCCCAAAGTACTGTGATTACAAGTGGGAGCCACTGTGCCCAGCCAGGAGACCAGTGTGGAAAATCACTAGCTGGGAGGAGGATGAGAATGGAGGCAAGGAGAACTTGGAAGAAATGTAGTAGTGAGGAAGGAGAGGAGGAGGATTGTTAGATGAATTTATGGCAAGTCAGATATGGGAGTATGGGAGAGGAGGGGCTGAGGATGACTCTCAGATTTCTGAAATGGGGGGCTTGGCCATGGGACCATTCACCCAGATAGGGACACAGGAGTGAGGAGCAACATCAGAGATGAAACAATGATGGCCGCTTTTGCGGATGGATCCTGATAGAGATATCCAGTAGACAGGCTGTCTGGGGGACTGGGAGGGCAGAAGAGAGTGTGAGTTGGAACATGGGTTAGTGTAAAAAGTAGGTATTACTGTCTAGCCTGCTAAAGTGAGAAGCAGGGTACTTTGTTACACTTTATTTTGGTTTTGATAATTAAAATATTAATGAGTTATATTTTAATACCAAAAGTATAAAGGCAAAAAATACAGCACATAATCCCCCTGCTCAAATAACCCCTATTGAAAGAGAGGGAGGATAATATATAGTTAGAAAATACAAATCAGTTTAGACAAGTGTAAAAATGAAAAGTGCAGGCCTTCCCTCAGTCCTCCACTCCCTTAACTACTGTTAACAGTTTCTTGTGTTTCCTTAAATAAATTAAAAAAAAGCATATACCTACTAGATACTGAATATCCCCAAAGGGGTCCTGCCATCTACAGTGTTTAAGAGGTCTGTCTGATTGAGCAAATTAACCTTCTCATCACTTTGCCAGCCTTCACAAACGCTCCTATCTTGGTGGGGTGGACCTGTGAGCTCACTGAGGGAAAGGTGGGGTCTCTGTGTTCCTAGCTCAGGTATAGAGGCTGGCCCAGGGTAAGTGCTCAAAAGAATAACAGAACTGTTTCTGCATTTGGAAATGTGGAGGGCCTTTGCTTGCAGGTCTAGTTGGTTAAGTGACTCATTCAGCAAATGTTTTCAGAGTCTTGACTAAATGTGCAGTGCAGTGCTTGGTGTGTGTGTGTGTGTGTGTGTGTGTGTGTGTGTGGTGGAGGGAGGGCAGAGGACTTGGGTCTTGGCCTCACTGAAGAGAAGAGCAGAACTAGGAAGGCCAGAGATCTTCCAACTTCACACCTTTGGAGGGGAAGCTGAGGTCCATAGTGAGGTTGCCATTTGTCTAGAAGCCACATGGCCTATTGGCAACAGAACCAGCTGGGATTCCAGAATAGTGTGTAGGGGTGGGGGGCGCAGGCACTGAGTGAGGCACAGGCCTTTGTCTGTGTGTTATGGGCTTGGTTGATTTCCACCTTGTGCCTGTGAGCAGCAGAGTGGTTGGTACTGGAGGAAGGGTGAATCAGGAAGCCTGGATCCCAGGGCTCTGCCACCCCCCACCACACTGACCGGGCCAGTCACATCCTTTCTCCTCTGAATGGAGGATGAGTCTAACTAAAACCTCAAAGTCTTTGTTACTATTATTACTCTAATTCAAAGATACTATTTTAAACAAATTATAGGAAATCCAATTTTATGATTTTGAAATTCTAAAATCCTGGTTTTCCAAGATTCTGAGGATATTGCTTGGGGTCTGTTATTCTGTGCAGAGTCCTGTGCTGTGAACTGGACATGTTGCCCAGTCCGGAGGGGCACCATATACATTTTTCAGTTTGAGACCAAAGCCAAAGAGCCTAGACTTCAAAGGAGTTTGAAACCAGTCAGGACCCTGGAGCCAGCCCAGACCACCAGCCAACAGTGTCTGGGAGGAGCCTAGGTGAAATGCGGAAACCATTTCAGCGCTTGGCTGGATCCTTCTGTAGCCATGGCAGATGGACCAGGCCTAGGCAAACACTCCCGTTTTACACAGGACTCAGGCTCAGAGCAGGAAACCGAGTCATTGCCTCCAGGCGCTGTGAAGTCTGACTGTTCTTTGTCCAGTGCTCTTCCTACACGTTGGACAGGGTCCCCTGAGACACTGCTTGCTGTCTGTCAGGGTAGCCCAGAAGGCAGGGCAACAGGGTAGACCCCTGGAGTGGGTCTCAATCCCCAGATCTGTACGGATGTCCTGGGAGCTCGCTAAAAGCCTAAGCGCTGGGGGCCTATTCCCCCAGACTCAACTGGATATTTTCTAGTTGGGATCAGGCATCATTTTTTTTCTTTAACTTCAGAGTTTGAGATCTTTTACCTTGGACTCTTTCGGCGGAAAACACAAAAACCAACCTAAGAAGTGGACTGAGAGGCCTGGGTTTGGGTCCCAACTTTGCTGCCCACTCGCTGTGAAATCTGCGAGTTTTCCAGTGAGCGGGCTGGATTCTGCAAGAAAACTTTTCAAGCACTTTCGTATTTGTGCGCTCCGGGTTCGCAGGCAGCGTAGTTCCCGTCTGCCGGGGGAGAAAACCGACCGGGAGAGGGGAAGGATCCTGCCCGGCCGGGGCTAGTGGAGAGGTGGGCAGGGAGCCGGGTTGAGCCCAGCGCTCCTCACGCCCAGTGGGCTCCGCTGACCCCAGGGCCCAGCCTCTTTCGCCGCGGCGCCGCCCCGCGGTCCTGCCCGGCTGGGCGGCCGGAGGGCTGCGGGCAGCGCGGGGTTCCAGCCGGCCGCCGCCTGTCAAACCCTCCGCCCAGCCCTGCGCCGGGCCCCGCCCAGACTCCCAGGGGGACGCCCCGCCCTCGCGCCGCGATTGGCCTGGGCGGGCGGCCGCGGCCAGCCAGTGGCTGGAGCGGCTGTCGGGCAGCCGCGGGCCCGCCCCCGTCCCCCGGGGAACCGCCCCGCAAGACGCGGCGGCGGCGCTGAGGCTGTGGGGGCTGCGGCGCCAGTGGAGGCGCGCCCAGCCGGGCGCCCAGCGATCTGCAGCCGCCGCTGCGAGGTGAGAGGGGGCGCGGCCCGCGGCCGACAGACTGGTGGGTGCGGGGCCCGAGATCCGAGGTTGGCGTCCCGGCGACACCGGAACCCCGGCAGCGTGGGCATGGCGCTGGGAGCGCGGAGGGGAACGCAGAGTTTGGGGGACCCTGGCGAAAGGGCCGAGCCTCTGGCGCGGCCCCCATTGCACGAGCGGGTGGTGAGAGCGTGGGATTCTGTGGCCGTGCGCTGCGGAGCGTCTGACCGGCGGCCGTGTGGGTGGTGCGTGTGTCCCCCGGCGTGCGTCGGCGGGTGTGCGGGCGGGTGGCGGCGCCGTCGTGGGCATTGCTCACTCTGCGGGTTTGCGCGCGCGACGGGCTCGTTTCCTCCGCTGCGCATGGGAATGTGGGTGTCCCGGCTGCGAGTGATGTGTTCGCGTCGCGGGAGTCAGCGCGCATCCTGGGACTCCCGTTTTCCCGGTTCGGGTGGTCGCGGGTGAGTCTCTAGGGGTTGCGCCCCCGGCCCTAAGGTTCGGGTCCGCAGCATCTGCGCGCAGCTGGCCCCGGAGCGTCCACGAGTCGCGCAGCCGATGACCCACCCAGAGCCGTCTCCGGCGCTTTGCTCGAGCCCAACTCTGGGAATCCTCGTTGCAGCCGGCTCCCTGTCCCAATGGGGACGCGGAACCCGCGCCCTTCCCGCTCCAGTCCTGTTTCACCATTAGTGCAAAGGAGGCTGGTTTCGGTGGAGGCGAATTTGGGTGGGAGATGGCAGAGCTTCGCGGGGATGCTCCGCGGCACGGGGGCCTGGAGTCCTCAGCACACCAGGGAAGGGCGAGTCGCTCCTGCGCGAGGGGGCTTTTGCGTGGGATCAGGTGGGTTTGACCTCTTGTGGGGGTATGTGTGGTTGCGCTAACCTATGTTAGAGACGCTGAATCCACAGAAAGGGCGGTGACCGGTTCAAACTCGGCCCCGGGATGAGACGGGGGCCGCTTCCCGCATTCTAACGCGCTGTGCTGTCTCCCCAGGAGTCCGGCGCGACCCCCAGCCGTGCGCCTCGCCCCGGCGCCATGCATTGCGAGGTGGCCGAGGCACACTCGGACAAGAGGCCCAAGGAGGCCCTGGGTGCGCCCGGCCCCGGCCCCGGCCCCGCCAGCCTCGGCGCGCACATGGCCTTCAGGGTCACCGTGAGTGGCGGCGGCTGCGGGGACAGGGGCCCGCGGGACCTGCTAGCCCGGCCGCCCGTGCCGCCACCGCGCGCCCACGATCTCCTCCGGCCCCGGAGCCCCCGAGACTACGGTCAGTCCAAGCTCGCCGCCGCCGGGAAGGGTGAGTCCGGTCCTGCCAACGTACCTGGCGGCTCCTGTGGAGATTCTAGCTGCCTGGCGTCGCCACCGCGTGCTCGGGAGAACTTGGTGGAACTTTCTTCGGAGTTCCTCAGTTTCTCTCTTATTGTTTGGGACTAGCTTGTCAGTCTGAAACTAAATTAGATGCTTGCTTTGCAAAGCATCTAATTTAAACTCAATAAGCCCCGTTTGGGGAAATGTGTTTATAGAAAGCTCTCAGCTTACATAATTTTGCTTCTGTATGTTTCTTATAAAGGTTGCGTAGAAACTTGTCAAAATTTTATTATATATTAGGATGAACAGTAGCGTATATGTTGGTGTCTGTTTCTGAGCAGCTCAAGGCTTTCTTTGAAGTATTTTAATCTCCTTAACTAACAAAACCCAGAGGCCTTTAGCAAGACTCCTCTTCTTTTGGGACCTCAGTTTCTCCTTCTGTCAAGTGAGGAATTAATTAAACCAGATGATTTCTGATTCCTGACGGAAAATTTTCTGCATCAGCAATCCAGCCTGGGTCACGTCCTAACTTAAACATGGCTTTTCTGTACTTGGTGCTTCGGAAGTCTAGTCTTGGGTCAAAAGCTCCTTGGCAAGTGCGTTGGTCCCCCAGTGAAGCTGGCCACGGGAAGGTGTAGGTCCCAGTATGGCTTATGGGCTCAAAGTCAGAGATGGTGCTGGGATTTTCAGGAACATGCTCTTCTCATCACAGTTAATTATTATTGAGTCATTATTTATGAGTTTTGTGCTGACAGATAATTAACCAGGAATTGGAGAAATTGTTAAGATGCTATGTCCCTGTCCTCCCCCTTTTTTCCCTTAGGAGAAACCAAGGCTTTGGGGTTTGACTATATCTGCATTTGGGACCTCTTGGTTCTCTTTCCAGATGATTTTCAAGAAAGACAAAAACAGTTTAGGTTTTATAGTTATAGGCTTCAATTCCTAGCATCAGCACGGCAACTCAAAAGAGGTAGGCAGCCTGCTTTTAGAGTTGAGAGCTCCTTGTGGATCCAAAACATCCAACTCCCCGGTTCAGGGATTAGTAAAATGAAATAAACATAAGCAGTTTTTTTTCTTTTTTAAAGAAAACACTTGACTTTGTAAGAGAGAACTATTTCTCATCTCCTTGTTTTAGATGTCAGCCTCTTTTTCAAGGGATAGCGATAATATTTTAGAAAGACAGATATGGTGGGGAGGGGTGGGAAATGCCTGCAGAGTGTTATTGCTGGAATATACACATATGAAGTCTCTTTTACCAGAGAGGAGCGCTGCTCAGTGAGACATGAGTAATGTTTGCTGCCGGGAGCTCCCTGGCTTGCCCCGCTCCATCCACAATCCTCCCTTAAATAGATACCCTCCTGCAACGTTCTGTGTTTAAAAAAATCATGGCTGTCATCTGAAGATCGAATTCTCTTCAGATTTAGTGAAAGGCTCTCCTGAACATCACCTTTGTTCCATGCTATGGTGAGACCTTTCATCTGGGAGCTTTGTGTATGATCTTCCTACTTCCATGCCCCCAAACCCTGGTTATTTTTATGCGCACTCCCAAATATGTCCAAAATAAAATATCTTTAAGTCAGGATTACATTCGAAAAGGGAGAGGAGAATAAAGGTTTGGGAGGAAGAGCCTCTTTGTACCTTAAGCTGGTCTCTCTGGTGACGCTTTTTCCAAGAAGTTTCACAACTTTTCTTCATAGCCTCCCAGTGGGGCTGGTGGGGTGGGATGTATCACACTCATTTGAAGGGTGAGGAAACTGAGGCCTGAAGGTGGGGAGTGCTCAGTAAGTGTAGGGTAGGGGCTGGGGAATCCACAGCTCTGGCCTAACCTGGCCTAGGAAAAAAGGAAAGGCTTGGGGTGCGGGGCTTGGAGAGGTTTCCTTGCTGGCCTCTGTGTCGCTGTAGGCAAGCTTTTCCTCACAGTCCAGCCACCAAGTGGCCCGAGACGAAACCAGCTTCCCCCCAGATCTTCAGCGTTCTTAAGAACACCACAAGGAGACGGTGCCTTCTTGCTGCCCCTACTTCCACTGAAATAGTCCCCAGACCATATAACCCTTCAGATGTTCGGAGTCTAGCTCCAAGTTCTCAGGCTTATTGAAAACAGGCAGAAATACCAATTGAAAAATATTTATTGACTGTGCTGGAAATTGTGAGACCCCACCACCTATGATCTGTGGGACTTGGGGAAGCGATTTTGCTCTTCTGAGCCTTTGGTTCCCTCGTTTGTAAATCTACCCTGAGACTTAATTTGGAAGACCGACGAGAGCATTAGCGATAGAGTGTGCAAGGGCCGCCTCAGTGCCTGGTTATTTTTAGGATTACTATGGTAACATGTTTAATGTTCTCAACCTCTGGGTTTTCATTTGCACGAGGGGTAATCATGCCTACCTTGCAGGGTAAATAAACAAGAGTTGTAAGACTGCCTTATAAACTAAAAAGGTAGGAGGAGTCACTTTTATTAATTCGTGCAGGGCCCATGCTAGGGTCAGTGACACTTCAGATAGAGGAGACAGAGTGAGAAGGAAGATAGATTAGATTTTTAAGATGTTGAATGTGAAGGGTGCTAACTGCAGTGTGTTAGCCAGGGGAGGTTGAAAGGTACCAAGCTTCGGGTCTTTTTGTGGCCACTGCTGCCCAGTGACCAGAGAGAAGACAGTACGGCTGAGTCTGGGGTTAGGTTTCCAATGCTCTGCTGCTTGCCTTGGACAGTCCCTGAGCAGAGGAAGAGAGTGGGTTCCTGAATCTAGTAGTTTATCCATAAATGTTTGAGGCCTGTGTATTTCCAGATCTGGAGTCGGGAGGCACTGGGATGGTGTGACGTCATGGACCAACATTGTCATCATTTACAATAAGAATCATGATCTGTTTATGGCAGAGTCCCGTTTATCCAGATTCCAAACAGCTGGAAAAGCCAAATTGCCAGATGCTGCGTTTTTCTTTCTTACTATTAAACACCCGACACTCTGCTTTTATAAGTCCTGACAAGGAAAGAAGGTAAACATCTGGGCCTTGTGCAGGCGGACAGCTTTGTGGTGATGGCCTGATGACGCTTGTTCTCTGTGCACGGTGCTTTACAGTGTTCAGAGCGTGTTCCCACACATCCTCTTGTCTGCCCTCACGCCAGCTGGGCTCTGCCTGCTTTGGGGGCTCTTGTGAGGGAACAGATGTGGAAGTCTGTAAAGTGCTGGGCAGATACTGGCTGTTATTAATGTGATTCCCATTTTATAGATGCAGACATTAAGGATCAGGGATTTGCTCAAAGCTGCAGACAGTAAGTGGCAGTTTCCAAGCTTTCAACTGCAAATATTTGATTCTAGTTCCACAACTTGTACCTTCTACATGTGTGTGTTGGCGGCCGAGAGCTGGCATTTACACGAAGTCCCTCTGAATGTTCCCAGAGAATTCAAAAATGTTTTTTGCTTTTGGTATTTCTTCTGTCTCAAATCTTTGGAAATTGCTAACTAGTATCTATGCCATAGTTAGAAAACTATAGTTTGCCACATGATTCCATTTGCCCAGACTTGCTGTTCCCACACCAAACCAGATAATGAGGTCACTATTTAATTTACAGCGACTCACTGGGCCCTTTCACTGTGTCCTGAGACTGGATGCATCCTTGCAATAAAAAGGTTGATCACGACAAATGTGAACCCTGCCATTATAAAAACAGCCATCATGGCTGTAAATGCCAAAAAGCAGTCAGTCTTGAAACTGAAAAAAAAAAAAGGAACTCTAGATTGTGTGCGTGGCCTCAGGGGATGGCAGCAGTGGACAGTAAGTCATGGTGTTTTGGTGGCGTTACCTGGTCGAATTTCTTCCTCTGAATGAGAAGCTGCTCTGATGTTCTGGCGAGGCCTTGGAAAGGCAAGCGCATCCCTTATAGAAAGATATGAGTGATTTTTAAAGCATTTCCCCCCTCCGGCTCTGGTGGGCAATTTGCTTGCATTTCATCTATTTTAAAGTGAGGGTCCTGCGATCCGGAAATAATCAGATCCAAATTTTTTCAGTGCTTGAAGTTTCAAATAAGGGAGAGAAAAACCTGCTGGCCAAATGTCAGGCTCAGTGAGACAAAGAGAAACAAGTATGTGTGTGGGTAAAAAATGAGATAGGAACATGTTGTGTCTACAGTCATAAGAGTTATGTATCCGACAAATCTTTTATAGACATGTAGCGGAAATATAATTCCCAAAGATTCTCTGAGAATCTCTGGCGGCTAGGATCCCTCTTCCCTTTCTGCCTCCCAAGCTCTCTAGAAACTAGGACTTTGTGGGCAGAATGGCAAGGGGACCATCACATGAGACCATACTTTAATTTGGGTTTTGTTGTTTCTTGATAGTTTACCTGTAGCAGACTTAGAGGGACTGCGGTCTGCAGAGCTTCAGCGCTGTGGAACCACATCCATCGGCATGTTGCTCTATCTGTGATCTAAAAATGTAAATTTCTTTATATGCTATTTTTCTTCATCCTTCTCCTTCTGAAAAAAAAAAACCAAAAAAACAAACAAACAAACAAACTAACCCCATCTCAGAGTTACTCATCTCCCTGCGTTTCATTTGCGTGAGAAGCTTAGTGAGCCAGCACACTTTTACAGTGCGTTAAAATCCCATTACAGGCATAAGCGCACAATGAATCACTTAAAAAAATATATTCTTATGTTCTTTGTTCTGAATGTTGCATAATTATCATCATTTTCTTCAGTTTTATTTTGTGGAGTTTGGCCAGTATCCTGAAAGACGGGAGAAACTAAAGTTTGGGACAGGGTTTTCAGTCTGTTTTGGATAGGATTAGGGGAAAAAAACAACAAACAAATAAACTTTATTGGGAAATTGACCCGTGACTATCGCGGAGGATAATTTCCCTTCCTTCTTTCAGTTGTCTTGGAAAAGAATTCTCTGTTTTCAACAAGATATGGTAGTATTTCAGCAACCTCACCTTACATATACATTTATATTCAAAGTTAAATTACAATGTGTGATTTGTTAATTTTTTTTT